AACTTATCTCGATGCATCAACATAACACCTAGGCCGACTCTGGATGCATCACAATAGATCACATAACCATCTGAACCCTCTGGTAGAGTCAAAACAAGAGTTGTAGTCAACCTAGTTTTCAGTTTTGCAAAGCTTTTCTCGCAATCATCTGACCACTGGAACTTGACCTTCTTCTGAGTTAACCTAGTCAATGGAGAGGCTATAGATGAAAATTCTTCCATAAACCTTTTGTAATAACCATCCAAACCCAAGAAGCTTCTGATATCTGTAGGAGAGGTAGGTCTAGGCCATTGCTTCACTACTTCTATTTTCTGTGAATCCACTCGGATTCCTTCGCTAGATACAATGTGACCAAGGAAAGCAACAAATTGCAACCAAAACTCACATTTGCTAAACTTAGCGAATAACTGGTGATCTTTGAGAGTCTGCAAAACAACCCTCAAATGACTCGCATGTTCTTCCTCATTCCTAGAGTAAATGAGGATATCATCAATAAAGACGATAACGAACAAGTCCAAATACTGCTTGAACACTTTGTTCAACAAATCCATGAAAGCTGTAGGAGCATTGGTTAGTCCAAAAGACATAACTACAAATTCATAATGACCATACCAAGTCCTGAAGGCTGTCTTCGGGATGTCACTATCTCTGACTCTGAGCTAATGATAATCGGTTCTGAGGTCTATCTTAGAGAAGTGACTAGCACCCTGAAGTCGGTCAAACAAGTTATCAATCCTGGGGATAGGGTACTTATTCTTGATTGTGACTTTGTTCAACTGGCTATAGTCAATACACATTCTGAGTGAACCATCTTTCTTCTTCACAAACAACACTGGTGCACCCCATGGTGAAATAATAGGTCTGATGAAGCCCTTATATAGAAGGTCTTTCAATTGTTCTTTCAATTCCTTAAGCTCAACTGGAGCCATTCTATAAGGAGGAATGGAAATAGGCTGGGTATCTAGAAGGAGATCAATTCTAAAGTAGATTTCCTTTTTGGGAAGAACTCCGAGAAGATCTTCTGGAAACACTTCTGGAAATTTGTTAACTACTGGAACTAACTCAAGCATTTGGCTTTCAGAGCTAGAATCCTTAACTCGAACTAGATGATAGAGATAAACCTTAGAAATCATCTTTCTGGCCTTAAGGTAAGAAATGAATCGACTCCTAGGCACTAAGCTACTACCCTTCATTCTAAGATTGGTTCGTCTGGAAACTGAAAACGAACAATCTTAGTTCTACAATCGACTGAGGTATAACAGGAATATAACCAATTCATGCCTAGAATGACATCGAAGCCTACCATTTCTAACTCTACAAGATCTGCTGAGGTGACTTTCTGAGAGACTGTGATAGGGCAATTTCTTTATACCCGTCTAGCTATAACTGGGTCACCGATTGGAGTAGAGACTGAGAAGGGTTCTGAGAGTGTTTCTGGACTAACATTAAAGTTGTCTGTTATAAAAGAAGTTACAAAGGAGAGAGCAGCCCCTGGATCTAACAAAGCATAAACATCGAGATTAAAGACTCATAACGTACCAGTGACTACATCAGGAGAACCTTCTTGATACTGGCGAGCTTGAAGAGCATACAACATGTTCTGGCGCTGGCCGCCACCTGGACCAGATGAGTTACCCTACTGAGTCGGGCGCCTTGCTGGTGCTGCTAAAGTTATAGACTAAGCTCTACCATTATTACCTCATTACCCCTGTTTAGAAGGACCATCCCTCAACCTATGACTAGACTGACCACATCCAAAACATCATTTTTGTCCTGCAAGGCACTCGCCCAGATGGTTCTTACCACATTTGGAGCAGTTTGGGTAGGTTTGGTACCTGAGACACCTTCCTGAAACTTAGAGCCTGATGTTTTACCTTTCTGGTCATGCCTGTACTTGGAGGATGGAACACTAGCTAATGAAGGGGTTGGGGCTGAAGATATCTGTTGACCTTGCGAGCGATTTCCACTCGATTTCTGTTGTGAATACTCATAGTTCTTAGCCTTCTTGTTCTCTTTAGCTTGTTCCCTAAGCGTATCACCCTCAACCTGCTGAGTGTGAGTCATGAGCCTAGAGATATTCATGTTTCAAGCAACATAACATTTCTACACTGTTTTCACCAAGTCTGAAACTCCATACATAAACTTATTCATCTGAGCTCTGGAGTCAGCAACCATATCAGGAGCATACCTGGAGAGTTGGGTAAACTTAAGCCCATACTCTAGGACTGTCATATTACCTTGCCTTAGTTCATGAATTCCTGAGCTTTTGGCTCCCTCAACTCTCTTGGGAAGAACCTGTCGAGAAAATTCTCGCTAAAGCATTCCCAAGTGATATGAGCAACATATGTACCCCTATTCTCTTTCCATTGAGTATACCAGATATGAGCCACATCCTTAAGCTGGTAAGATGTCAACTCAACCCGATCATTCCCAGTCAACTGCATCACTTCAAGGATCTTCTTGACCTCATCTAAGAAGTTTTGGGGATCCTCACCAATCTGCGATCCTAAGAACTCAGGAGGATTCATCCTAATAAATCACGGACCCTTGTTGTCGCTGACCCACCACCAGCATTCGCAGGAACTTGACCCTATTGATTGTTCTGGTTAGCCACACTCTGAGCCATCATCTGAATGTCGTTCCGAAACTCTGCATTCGAAACTTCTCGATCTACGACTAGACGAGTTGTGTTAGCATTCCTGGCATTAGCTCTACGATGAGGCATGATCTGAAACGCGGAACGTCATGTTAGAATGGAGTTAGATCATACCTTCCGCACGATAGAAGTAACAAGAAAAATGAAGATTTTCCTAAAACACCTTGTAGCCTCCTTCTCATTAGATGTGGTGCACTTCACACCCATGAAAATGACTCTACTTAGTGTGGCTTTTTCAGACATCCTAGGACTCTTGAACCTAATGCTATGATACCAAGTTTGTCACCCCCGAGCTACCCCCGAGACGCAGACACGGGACCTAGGATCACAAGTGACCCCAAGCTAACTCTTCTGGCATATAATAAACATACTAAGAATAATAAACTGATGCGGAAGCTTAAAACATGAAGTAAATCTGAAATGATGGGGAATACCCATATACTAAAACTGAATATATGAAAAATCTGAGAGTTTAATACAAAATAAATATTAACTTAAATATTAAGTTGAATTTAACTATGTTTGAAAATGGCCTCTAACTGACTAGAAGTGCTGGGACAACCCCCAACTAAATCTAGCAAAACTGAAACTAAAGACTAAATAACTGAAATAGAACATGACTATGGTCCTCGAAGAATGAGGACTCACCACTGATGCTGCTGAGCTGGAGATTGGAAACCTATCTATGCGTGGTCTAGATGCTGAGAACCTGGACATACATCACGAGAAGATGTAGCGCGAGTATGCGTCAGTACTTGAAAGGTACTGAGCATGAAAGATAGAGTAAAGCTGAAATAAACATATAACTAAATAAGCAATAAAGCAAATATATTATGTACATGATATAGATACTGAATACTGAGCTAACTGAATGCAATGACCAAATTTTTAACATGCTGAGATTGATTACTGATTGTACTGTAAATGTGGTCAATGCAATAGAGTGTGATTGAACTGTGGGAGCTACTAATAACCGACAATAAAACCACATGAGCTAAATGTGGATTCCGATGTATACTCTCCATCGAGAGGACCCAATATACCCTGCCACAGGTATAGAGGCATCACTGGCGTGATCACTAAATGATTCCCACAAAGGGGACTTATAACTTACGTGGCTCGTAGTTCTGGGACTATACGGGTGACTGACCCTAGTCCAACTCGATATTATTCTACTCCCAATAGATTAAGTGATTAACACATTATGACTGAATTACTGTAATATACTAGATAGCTCAAAACTGACATGCAACTGAGAATGCAACATTAATATACTGATAATGACACATTCAAAAACTGAGGCATGTATATCTGAAATATCTGACCTAGCATGTGTAATTAAAGAACTAAAGAACTACATAGTTAGGGTTCTGAAATTCATGCAAGAAACGAAGTAATAACATGATAATCTGATTCGGAACATGGAAATAACTAATTCATGATAATCTGCTGGAGTTCTAAAAGCCCTAGGTCTAGTTATAATAAGGGAATTAAGAATCTGACTGAATTTTAGGAACCTAATGGGCGAAAGGAACCCACTAGTGAAATTCCACATACCTGGTGACGAATTTCACGAAGAAATCTTTCAATTTTGGGGCTGGAACTGATGGAATCTAGCTGCGTTCTTGAACTAGGGTTCTTGAATTCTTTTCTCCTCTCAAGCTCTAATTTTTCTTATGTTTTGATTAATGATTTGACTTAGGTAAGTTCTAGTTATGTTTCTAGGCTAAAACTAACCAAAACCACGTAGTTTAGGGTTAAAGCGACGTAGTTTAGGGGTCCAACGAAAAACAAAAAGACCAAAAGACCCCTGACTTAAACTACTGGCAGGGCTGACCATTGCCACCTTCACGGACCGTCAAAGGGACCACAAACCATGAAGTGGGTCGTGGTTCTTGATCCAGTGACCTCTAGTTCTGGGGGCCTTCTTCACGGGCTCCACTACAGACCGTGTGAAGGACCACGGGCAGTGAAGGCCTCCGTGGTTTTCACTTGGTCCGGTGGTCTGAGAGCCCTGCTTCACGGACCCTCCCACGGGCCGTGTGAATGACCACAGACCGTGAAGGTGTCCGTGCTCTTCACTTAGGCCCGGGAGTTTAAGGGCTGGCTAGGGGGGGTCTACTGCCTCGTTTCTACGGATGCCACCACGGTCTGTTGTCAAGACACGGCCCGTGAAAGGTCCCGTGATCTGAAATCAGGGACTGGTAGAGTCCAATCCCCCACCACGGGCAGGTCAACGGATTGTGGTCCCTATCACGGTCCGTGAACCCTGTCGCGGTTCACTGTCCAGGTGAGATTTCTGCAAATTTTTTCTGGGTCTGGATTTTGAGGTGTTACACTTGAGGTCATGATTACCGATCTCGCTTATCACAATAAAATGGATGTCAATAACCTCTTAGATTATCTAGGTGAAAGTGATACATGTTCAGAGGTCCAGAACTTAGAAGAAATTGTGGATACCATCGGAAAAAACAATGTTGATGACGAAGTCAAAGATGATACTATAACTTTGGAACAAGTTACGCGTAAGGAAGCACTTATCGCATCTAGAACTCTTCACAATTTTATGATACAGTTCGAAAAGACAACACCGGAGCTCTTGGATGCAATAAGAAAAGTTAGAGATGAGCTTCAACAAGATTTAAATTTAAAAAAAAAAAAAAAAACACAATAGAATCATATTTCAGTAAATTGTCTTAGGTATATTTGTACTTTTAAAGAATTGTTAATTTATGATATTAATGGAACCATATATTTATATAGGGTGTCACACCCCTTTTTTTTTCCTCAAAATTTAATTAAGTATGTTTTGAAAGAAAAAAGAGTTTCTCCAATTGAAGTGACATTTTGAAAAGGGATTATTTTATTATTCAGAGTCGCCACTTGAAATTGAGTTTCGGTGTTCCAAGTCACCTTATTATTTAAACCCCTAATCAAAAAGAAATTTGACTCTTTATTTTTATTGGTCTGCGATTACAAAGATAGGGTAAGGAATTCTGTTGACCAAGGGGAAGGTATTAGGCACCCCTCGAGTCCCGTGATTCTAACACGGTCGCTTCATTGACTATATATAACTTAAATTAATTTTCGGATATTGTATTATTAACTTAATAATAAAAGTTATTTACCTCATTATTTAATTTATTTTAAACCTATTTATATTATATTAATATATGTTCGTTAATTAAAAAAAAAATGTATATCACATGAATTTATTCAAACATAATAAAGTAAAGTTAATAGATTTACAAATCTTGAAATGTCTTGTAATTTCTTTTCTTCTCCCTTTTTTTTTTCCATGTATTTGTATTTATTTATTTTTATTGTGGATAGAAAATATGTAGGTATCTAATTACTAGGAATTAGAATTTTTGTAGGATTGAGATTTTTGAGTTTGAATATTTTAGGATTGTATTTTTTTTTAAGTTAGATTTAGAATAGAAATAAAATTTTATCCTAAAATATTCAAACTCAAAAATCTCAATCCTACAAAAATTCTAATTCCTAGTAATTAGATACCTACATATTTTCTATCCACAATAAAAATAAATAAATACAAATACATGAAAAAAAAAAGGGAGAAGAAAAGAAATTACAAGACATTTCAAGATTTGTAAATCTATTACCTTTACTTTATTATGTTTGAATAAATTCATGTGATATACATTTTTTTTTAATTAACGAACATATATTAATATAATATAAATAGGTTTAAAATAAATTAAATAATGAGGTAAATAACTTTTATTATTAAGTTAATAATACAATATCCGAAAATTAATTTAAGTTATATATAGTCAATGAAGCGACCGTGTTAGAATCACGGGACTCGAGGGGTGCCTAATACCTTCCCCTTGGTCAACAGAATTCCTTACCCTATCTTTGTAATCGCAGACCAATAAAAATAAAGAGTCAAATTTCTTTTTGATTAGGGGTTTAAATAATAAGGTGACTTGGAACACCGAAACTCAATTTCAAGTGGCGACTCTGAATAATAAAATAATCCCTTTTCAAAATGTCACTTCAATTGGAGAAACTCTTTTTTCTTTCAAAACATACTTAATTAAATTTTGAGGAAAAAAAAAGGGGTGTGACAGATGGCGACTCTGCCGGGGAATAACCAGAATTCGAGCTTATAATATTGACTTATATATGACTATTTACTTAATTATTTATGTTTTGGATATTCTATTTGTTGGCTGAATGTGCTAATTGTTTACTTTTTTACTATTTTAATATTATTTGCATTGCATTATAACTGTCTTCTCTCGCGCACCCCTCTGAGTCTTCTATAATACAATTATGGGAATTGCGACTGCGCACCCCACTTCTGTTAAGATAGCCAGTGGATCTTCGGTCCATGGTGAAGGATATTTAGTCATACATGTTTAGGATAGGGAGCACCCATGCACAAAGCCGGAAAGCGCTGCTACCGGTACGTTGCTACTCCCTAACTCGAGTTGTCCGCTCGTTTTACAGCCAGTCTAGATACCTTGCTCCACAAGTTCAACCTTAGTAGAACTGAAACCTTCATACATGATATCCTTACTAGGTTTTGCTTTATCTGCATCATGTGCATTTAACTTAGCAAGACTCGGCATGGGGGCCGGGTCTGTCTAGGACAGGTACCTGTTCTTGAGACCATCATGTACATTTTTGTGCTACTTGTTGCATCATGTGGAAGACTATAACAAATGTTGACCGGCTTTAAATAATTGACTAAAAGAAGAAACGTCTATTTTTACCCACTTTCAGCAAATAATTCAAGATAAACAAAGTGAAAATAATATATATATATATAACCCTCAATTGTATTCTCGCTTTTATCAAAACATCAAGTTTTTACAACAAATAAAAAAAAAAAAAAAAAAAAATAAATATATAAATAAAAAGGTTATAATAAAAAAATAATGCAATAAAATAAATTATTATATGTATGTCTTTAAATTTGTTTCAAATAGGGCATATCCACCTTCTTTTTATTTTTTATTTTTTCTGTTCTTCATGATTCACTTGTCAAATTATCTATTTATCCGATCATTTTCTCTTAAACCAACCTAGGCTTCCTTTAAGGAAGGTCAACAAAAGTCGTTTTCGAAAGAATGACCACTTTAGGCATTCTGAGTCATTTTTCATATATTTTTTATTATTACTACTTCAACAAATGATTTCGAATTATCAAAATTTCATAAGTTAAATTTGGTTTTAAATCGCGAGTTTCTTTTCCTAACCAGGTAACCATGAAATCTATGAGATGTGATAAAAGACCAAGGGATGAAGCAGTCGAAATGGTTAATGATCCCCCAAAGTTCATGATCACGGATAAAACCCCACCACTACTCATGGCTTGGTGGAACGATATGCATGAGTTTAGGCGAACTGAGATATTCAAACATCTTGGTTTCCTCACAGATATCATGAGATTTAGTCCTGACAGAGATTTGATCGAGGCTTTGATCCCTTTTTGGGATTCTACAAGCAATGTGTTTCGCTTTAGCGATTTTGAGTTGACGCCTACATTGGAGGAGTTGGGTGGTTTCACAGGGTTAGGCAAGGATCTCCAAAGCAAAACACTCATAGCCCCAAGAAACGTCAGCGGGAACAAATTTTTAGAACAAATGCACATCATCTATCCTCATAAGGAGTGTTTTGATAATGGGTTGGTTTCCTTGGAATTTCTATACTCAAGATATGGAAAGAAAGAAGGATTTTCAGACTACGGGAAACAACTTAAAAATGGGCAACACCTCCTACTTGGGAAAAACATAGACAAGAAGCATTCATGGTGGCCTTTTTGGGAACCATGGTTTTTCCAAGAAGGGATAAAAAAATCAGTATTCGTCTATCGGGAATAGTCGCTGTTATGATGAAGAAAAAGAAATCCACTATCTTGCCAATGATGTTGGCTGACATTTATCGTGTTTTGACTAAATGTAGAGAAGGGGAAGACTTTTTTGAAGGTTGCAGCATTCTATTGCAAATGTGGTTTTTGGAGCACTTGTATCGCCATCGTTTTGCGACAGATTTCAAATCTGAATGGACGAATTATATTTTGAGCCACCCAGACAGAATGAAGGAATTAGCAGACAAATTGCCAAAAGGTGTCAAAGCGTGGAGACATTATCTTCTTAAATTAACTGCTTCTGATATTACATGGAACTATCATTGGTTCCCTGCAAGTGAGGTAATTGTTGTCTTCCTATCGTCCATTCTTTGTTCTGACAGGCCTTCAAGGATTCCAACCGTACATACCCCTTCGGGTGCTACGCCAATTAGGACAAAAACAAATCTTACCTAGGGCCGAGGATACACAGAGTTTCGTATGGGAGGTGGCGTCTGAAGATCGAGATCGAGAATCAGAAGCTCAAAAGATTTGGGGTGGTAGTCAAACTTTAAGCTCGAAAGCTATGGTAGACGATCGTGTTGAAGGAGAAGTAGACCCCTCATACCTCCATTGGTTCTTTGATCAAGCCCCCCTCAAAGTAATGCCCGAAGGATCAGCGCGAAAACTCAGAGATCGAGAAGAGGAAATTGAAGTCAGAATCAAGCAAGCTCGGCTCGAGGTGGAAAGAAATTACAGGTCTACTCTGGATATCCTCAGTAATGATCTGAAGAATGCTAGAGAAGAGTTGGCTCAACGTGATGCAATATTCAAAGAAAGAGTTAGGTTGATTCAGAAAAGGGCTGAAAAAGAACATCAATCCACCATTCGAACCTTACATGAAGATTTGGGCATCATCACGGGCGCTATGGAGCAACAAGAGGAGGAGTATAAAAAAGAAAAGACTCTCTTAATGCACACACAAGCTAGACTACAAAATCATTTAAAAGCTTCGATGGGACGAGAAACAGACATAGCAAAGCGTTTCACATCGTATCAAACAGAAGTTGCAATCGAGAGAAACCAATGGATGGGGGAGCGTGAAGAACTTCATAATCAAATCGAAGAGCTTCAGCACATGAAGAGGATTTGACCCACAGGTTGATACTACTCAAGAATGGTTGCAGAATTGTCACGAGAATATGGAGAGGCCAAAGGACAAGTACTTCACTGACAGAGAGCTTGATTGATGTTTATGGTGGTTATCTACATCGGAGTGATGAGAGCCTGGGTCGACATGCGCGTGCACTGCCCCACATCTGCCAAAGGCTTTGTTCAAGGTTTACTCTAGCTAGGGGCAATTAATGATCGAGAAATATTGGAGAAGGATTTGTTTTATTATTATTATTATTTCTTTTATTTTCATTTTTTGTCGAAGTTTGTTTCAATCTTTAAGTACTTTGATGTTTTGGTTATTTATTTTAAGAACATTTTGATTTGAATGATATCTTCATATAAATAAATGTCGTGTTTTTTTTTTTTTTTTAATAATTCTTCTTCACGACTACGTAATGATCTGATTCATGTTTAACATGATACGTAGGCAACCTTCAACAAGTTCGATCAAAATGCGTTCAAAATATTCAGATGAGTAAAGTATGGGACTAAAAGGCATAAGCAAGTCATCCAAAGCCGGATGAAACATAAAAGTCTTCCAAAACTCATTGTAGAAATAGGAATAATTTAGGTGCATAACATACAAGTGTTATTAATATTGCAAAATGTTGAATCCTAACACGTTTGTTTTTATATATAAGAGAGAAGTTTAAAGGTGGTGGTTTGTGAAGAAAGCT